GGGAGGAGGGGGAGGGAAATGGGAGGCTGGGAGGAGGCGGAAACTTTTTTTTTCCTTTTCTCAATAAAAAAAAAGAAAAAAAAAAGAAAAAAAAGAGAACTGGAGTAAAGGGAATGGTGACCTCAGAGCAAGATCCCACCCTGCTAATTTCTAACCCGTGAACAGGCTATGACGTGAGGAATCCTACTTCTGCTTCCCCGCTGTCCCACAAAGTCGAGTGCTTTCCACCCTTGCAGAAACAGCTCATCCCCAACAGTGGGACCCAGTGTTTCATATCCATGAATAGAATTAGGATCATTTTGATCTCCAGATGTGCCAACTGGCCTGGCTCTCTTCCCTTGGTAGTACCACAAGCCCACCCTTTTCCACCCTACCCCAAGCTAAGAGGGTCCAGTGCAGCAGGAACTGAGTAGGACCCTTCCTCAAGCCCCCAGGCCACACTCAGTCTGGGTGTGCCTGGTTTTCTGGTTCTTATCCTCCCTTTAGCAGCTAAGCACTTTGTGCAGTCTCTCCTGAAGATGCAGCCTCTGATCACAAGTCTGTCATTATTCTGGTAATGGGGCTGAGATAGGGACAACAGACTGTAGATGGTGCGGAAGTTAGCAGGGACAGTGGACCGTGTGCTCACAGGTGGGGACAGTGGACCGTGTGCTCACAGGTGGGGACAGTGGACCGTGTGCTCACAGGTAGAGACAGTGGACCGTGTGCTCACAGGTGGGGACAGTGGACCATATCCTCACAGATGGGGACAGTGGACCGTGTGCTCACAGGTGGGGACAGTGGACCGTGTGCTCACAGATGGGGACAGGGGACCGTGTGCTCACAGATGGGGACAGCGGACCGTGTGCTCACAGATGGGGACAGGGGACCATGTGCTCACAGATGGGGACAGGGGACCATGTGCTCACAGATGGGGACAGGGGACCATGTGCTCACAGATGGGGACAGGGGACCATGTGCTCACAGATGGGGACAGCGGACCATGTGCTCACAGATGGGGACAGGGGACCGTGTGCTCACAGATGGGGACAGCGGACCGTGTGCTCACAGATGGGGACAGGGGACCGTGTGCTCACAGATGGGGACAGCGGACCGTGTGCTCACAGATGGGGACAGGGGACCATGTGCTCACAGATGGGGACAGGGGACCATGTGCTCACAGATGGGGACAGGGGACCATGTGCTCACAGATGGGGACAGGGGACCATGTGCTCACAGATGGGGACAGCGGACCATGTGCTCACAGATGGGGACAGGGGACCGTGTGCTCACAGATGGGGACAGCGGACCGTGTGCTCACAGATGGGGACAGGGGACCGTGTGCTCACAGATGGGGACAGGGGACCGTGTACTCACAGATGGGGACAGCGGACCGTGTGCTCACAGGTGGGGACAGCGGACCGTGTGCTCACAGGTAGGGACAGTGGACCATGTGCTCACAGATGGGGACAGGGGACCGTGTGCTCACAGGTAGGGACAGCGGATGTGGGTGGTGCACAGGTCAGCACTGTCAGCGAATGGGTGCTCGACAGGCAAAGCCAGCGCTGGCCCAGGCACACAGTGACATGTCTGTGGGAGGGTTTTTGATTGTTAAGTGGCAAAGAGAGCCCAGCTCGCTATGGATTGTACCGTTCACTGGACATGTGTTCCTGGGTATATAAGAAGGCTGTCTAAGCATGAGACTGCAATCCACCAAGAAACACCCCACCATGGTTTCTACTGACTTTATTGGCTGAGTGAGTGAGTTCCCTGGCCAAAGGTAAGACTGTGTAATAACAAGCAGGTTTGCCTTCAGGTTCACACAGGAGTTCCTGAGCTGACAATCAATCTCTCCTTCCTCTAAGCTGCCATTGCCAGTGTTTTATCCATAGCCACATGAAGAAACTAGAACACCTGCAAAGTTTTTTAAATAAAGAACAAATATCTGGTGTCATTTTAAAGATAGCAATATACCCTAAGACTCAGTCTTTTCAATCTAAAAATAAATCATTTGATTTAATAATATTTAATAAATATTTAACATTTAATCATTTAATAATACATAGCAATAGAAAAGACTGGCCATCAACCCAGTTCAAAGGCATTTGTGTTAATACAGAAGAACAGTGAATCCAACCCTGCCTGTCCAGCTTAACCACTGGAGGCCTCTCTCACAGCCCTACTGTAGGTGGTGCACAGACACTCAAGAGAAGCCTCGCTGGCACTGACTGGAGTGGCCACATTGGCTCCTAAGCTTCACGGAGGGAGACTGGCCTACTTCCTTCTTACTGACATTTGATGTTTGGGTCAAATATGACCTGAGTGCTCCTGTGCTCAAACTGGAAGGCCAGCACAAACCATAGCACCCACACGGCTGTGGTGAGTCTGGCCGCTCTGACGTCCTCTGCATCAGTGTACAAAAATGTCAGAGTACAAGCCACCAAACACACTGCGAGCCTCTGCGGCCTCATGCCCTTCCTCACATTCCATCACACCCCCTCAGATATTTACTTTCGGGAATTTAAACGAGGTATTTCCCCATTTACAACAAAAACCCCAAAGCAGAACCATCTTTTCTAACGTAACACCTCCCATCTAAGAGCACAGCACAGTGACTCTCAAAAGATGGTCAGCCCACAAGGCCCTGTGCAGGCACACGTGCACACCGCGGTCACTGCACAGAGGCCGTGCAGTAGACCTTAAAGCCTCTGGTGGACACATTTGATGGGAAGACTCCCAAGAGAAAGGAATGCCTTGGGCTATCACCCAGGAAGAGAACAAGCTAGGCCCTGTTTCCTCGTACCCTTGATGCCTTGCAGACCTGCCTTGTAAAACGGAGCGGAAGAGCAAATCTCAGAACTACTTTATGTTGATGCAGACACAATGCTATTGTACTTTAGAGAGCCTGCTTCTGTCTGAGTGTGCTTGGGAGGCAGTGTCGTCTTCAGGTCTTATGCATTGTCTGAGGACACACTGACTGCATCAGGAGTCTGCTGCCTGCCTGGGCCAGCACCAGCTTTGCCCGTAGAGCTACAGTCTGCTGACTGGTTCCACCAGCCTGTTCACCAACCATAGTCTGCTGTCCCTGTCCTGGGCAATCCTCCAGATAACTCAGGGTTCAACCAGCTTGAGTTTCACAGCTGCGAGGCAGTGAATAGAACACCAAGTATCAGATTTCTTGACTATAGATGGGGACTGGATAGTTTGTTTGCTAAAAGGACGAAGAGTTGAAGAAGTGTGTAGCATGCTGTCTGGCAGTTAATCCTCAGAGTGTGGATTATTACTGGAATTAAACTGAGCCTTTATTTCCTGCTTGTAAATGAAGAATGGCTTCTAGGTCCATCTTATATCAAGTTTGTCGTAACATTTCAGGTGATCTTGACATAGCAAGAGACTGGAATTCTTCTGAGTTATAGTGTGTTTAAGGAACGATTTGAGCCAAGCGGCCCCTCCGATGGTGCTCAGCTGTTTCACACAGCCATTCTTCTCTGGGGGACCATCAGAGTCCTCGGATGTCACGGCCGAGGCTTGCAGAGCATTTGCTCCCGGTGACATGCGGGGTCCTGAGGCCCATAGCACCTTATGTGATTCATCACCAAGGCACCCCACTCGGGTGTCTTAGAGGGTGATAACTGGAAAATAACTCTAAGTGTCATTAAGGAATGTTTCCCATTCCAGGTCATTTGTTGAATTATGGTCACTACTGAGACACAAACACTGGTGGGTAGACTTCTTAGTCTCTTTATATGTTGCTGCTTTCCAGTTCTGTGGCTCTCAGTGGCGCTGAGTGTGGAGCAAACAGACATTAACTCCTAAGGTTCGAGTGTATTTGCCTCGTTATCATGCTCGCTGATGTTGTTTAACCTGAGGTCGTGCTCTGAGAGTTACATCACTGGCCACAGAGTGCACTCACCTAGGTAGTATGCTGTGACATCATCAGGCCGTCTTCAGAGGCCCTGTTTAACGTGCAGTCTGCTATCTACACAGGTTGCTGTGCTATTCACGGAGGTTTAGAGTCCCACTCTAAAGCCATACATGTAAGAAAGGTTGTGTTGGCTTCTGGCTTTAGGTTCCAGCATTGTTAGCTGCTATCAGCCTTTACAGATTCATCTTGGGGTCTGCGAGATGGCTGAGCAGGTAGGGCACTTGAGGCTAAGCCCGAGGATGATGTTTGGTCCCTAGGTCCCTCATGGCAGAAAGAGAGAACCAACTCCTGCAAGTTTATGCTGTGGCATGTATCCCCTAACAAATTAAATAAGTTATGTAATAATTATATATGTATACACACATATGTTTTGTTTTTGAGACAGGGTTTCTCTGTAGCTTTAGAGCTTGTAGACCATAGACCAGGCTGGCCTCGAACTCACAGAAATCTGCCTGCCTCTGCCTCCCATGTGCTAGGATTAAAGGCATGCGCCACCACCTGGCAGTTAAATGTTTTTGAAAGCTCTTGTTGACTTTTTGTTTTCCCCACTGCACAGGGATCAGCATTTGCAGCCCAGCAGTCCCTGGCGTATAATCTTTTCCTGACCACAGCTGTTGGCGATGGGGTTCGGCTGTGGGACTTGAGGACTCTGAGGTAAGGCCAGCCTGCATCAAAGCACTGCCCCAAAGGAAGCTGGAGCTGTGCTGGGAACGCAGCCTGATCCTGGCTGCAGATAGTACAAGGCCATGAATAGTCTAGGTATGCTCTGGAGCGGGCAGGCTTGTGCACAGAATCAGTGCAGACTCTCGGGGATGGTAAGACCATAGATTCTTACCACTCTCATCTATGGTCGTACCACACACGTGGCTCCTGAGGGTCAGAGAGGTGAGAAATGGCGTGTGCACTATAGTGCAGCTACCCCAGAGAAGGTTTCTTTCTTTTCCTGTCACGTGTCTTGCTTACACTGGACACTAGCACTGGGCTCACATAGCCCCTTGGAGCCACACTGATGGTACTTCTCCTTAGGCTGCTTGATCTGCCTCTTATAAAGGCATTTCCATTTAAGCATTAACCTTTATCTTCTGGTAATTACATATATGTGCATATATGTGTATACACATACATACATACACACACATATATATATATAGTCATAAAAGTGGCCAGTGTTAACATATTTTCATAGTGCACAGATATTCACACAGAAACAACTAGCAGTGTGCCTTGTTCTTTGCCGGTAGAAGAAATAGAAAAGCCTCCATCTACATTGTATGGTTTAAGTGAGATCTTGCCTACAATTCAGGGACCCTGTTTGGTCTTAACATGCCCCAGGGTACCCACTAGGTGCTGGCCATGCTTTTCAATACCTATGTAAGGAAGACCTTGGCTGCTGCTAAAGGGTGCAGACCATTCCTCTTAATAAAATTACATAAATCATTGTCTTTTTTCCCATGGGTAAGTTTTATGCACCACTTGATAAGTGGTTGTGAAACTCAACCCTCTAACTAGATTGCTACACCTCCCCCAAAGCTATGGGCTGTTTTTGTCCATAATTTATGATTTTAAAAGATTTGTTTGAAGAATTTATAATAACCAAATTATAGAAATTGCTTATTTAATATTTCTCATATGTAAAGGTTCATCTGCTCTTAAGTTTTGTTATCTTTGGGAATTTATGATTTTGAAAAGAGTTTGAATTATTTTAAAGGTCTCCTTAATTACCTACCATTTAATAATTCTCAATATGAAGTTTTTTTTCAAGAATGTAGTTCAGTAGTAGAAGTTTTGTCTAGCCTAAAAAAAAAATCATGGGTTTGAGCATCAACACTACACACAGACATCAAAGAAAGTATTCTTTTTTTTTTTTTTAGCTATTAACTTGTTCATTTTGTGAAGGAAAACATGTCGATGTCTTCTAACGTGTCTTAAGATGTCGCAGTCATTTTCTGCCCAGTGGTTTCTTTATCCCCCTGCAGGTGTGTGCGCTGCTTTGAAGGGCATCCACACCGCTGGTACCCTTGCAGAGTTGCGTTCAGTCCTTGCGGAAGGCTTGTGGGCTGTGGTGCAGAGGACAGACATGTATGTATGTGTGCTTTCTCTATAGGGTTTCCACGTGGTGTTACCAGATAGACCTTGTTGATAAAATAAGGCCTGTTTCAAGCCTGACAGTATTTTAAGAGACTCACCCAGCATTAGAACTCCACAGATGGCCACAAGAGGCTTATGTTTTACTGAATCACAGTAGCACTTCTATCCATCACTCGCGTCTTCACTTATTAGTCATCATAGACAGTGGCACACGCTCCTGGGTGCCTGTAATGTGGTGTAGGCATGACAGGGTGATGACACTCGTCCATCCAGTGCAGCTCATGTGTGCTAAGGTGCCCTTGTCTCTGTTGCATTGCTTCTCCCCATGCAGCTGCCACTTTTCCTCCATGCCAGACCCACACCCCCTGCAGACTTGGAACACAGAAGTCCTAAAGAGTCCCAGCACTGTGGGACACACTGCCACATAGCTGGAGGCTAAGCCCGGAGAGGAGACCAGCCTCTTGTGAGGTCTTGGTGCTCCCTGGCTGGAAATTGCTGGCTCCTTCCTCTTCCTCCACCATGTGTCTCAAATCTCTCTGCCATCTGAAAGGTCACTTAATGAACTGAGGGCTTGTCTTTTATAAAATGTCCTCATAAAAATCCATTTTGAGAGTCACACGAGGCACAAAAATGGTGGTGCCCAAGCAAGGGCCTGGGTCTGACTGAGGGATGCTTACTGGTGCTGCTGGAGGACAGAGAAGAGCCCCAGCGCGCCTTGTTCTGCCCCAGTCCTGCAACATAGTTTCTGAAAGGAGCTCAAACTCCATGGGAGAAGACAAGACCTTCTGTTCACAAGCAGGGCATCAGGATGGCAAAATGCTCACACGGGCCGCTGATTCCTTCTCTAGGAGGAGCAAAATTAAGAAGGCTGGTGGTCAACAAAATCCTAGAATAAACTAAATAGCTTCGAAAAGAAAAGACTTTAAATATGTGTGGCCCTTTATTCATGGGAAAAATGGCTGGTTTCTCTGGAATACTGCTCAACTTCATTTTTAGAAGCAGTTGCAAGGTTTAGCACAAAGCTCTGAAGACTTAAACACCGTTGACTCCACTTCTGATTTTGTCTGCCATCATTACCCACAGGCTCTCTGTAACTGACTCTTTGCATTCTGGTAACAACCCAACGAAAGTGTGTTCTGAGAGCTCACTGGTTGGCTTCGCATGTGGTATCATAGATCACAGTGCTTCAGCTTTTTACAAAAATGGGTGTTTGGCCCTTAAAAGCATCCTACTGTTTCACTGCTACCGAAGGGAGGAGTGCTTTGGTATTCCTTTGTCAAACTGGAATGAAAGCCAGAGCATCCGCTCCTCACTCAGACAGTGTTCAGAGCAGTGGGGTTTTCAACCACCGCTCATGACCCCTTTGGGGGCCGCACAGTAGATATCCTGCATAGCAGGTATTTACATCAGGCTTTCAAACAGTAGCAAAATTACAGCTATGAAATAGCCACAAAATAATTCTATGGTTGGAGATCAACACAGCATGAAGTCACAGCATTAGAAAGGTTGAGAGCCGTTGTTTTAGAAATATTTCATGGAAAATACTACTATGGTGTATGAAAGAGCATCTGCAAACTGCCTGAAAAGTGTGCAAGGGGTTGCTGAGGCTGCAGGTTTCTCTTCTCTCTCTCTCTCTCTCTCTCTCTCTCTCTCTCTCTCTCTCTCTCTCTTCCTTCCCTCCCTCTCTCCTCCCTTCTTTCCTTCCTTCTTTCCTTTCTTCTTTTCTTTTTACTATAATAAGGACTTGGACATTTGTCAAAGTGAAAAGCAATCAATCCCCTTTGCCTGGTATATAGCAGATGCTTAGTAAATATACATGTCTAACAAGTGTAAGTTTTGTCTCTCCTCCTTCGTTGTTTGTAGAAATGGGTTTGGGCCTCAGGTCTGACCCATATGCAGATATACTGAGCACCTGGTATACACCAGGCTCTGAGTTTCATATAAGAAAGGGCTCCTACCTAGAAAGACTTCTAAAGTAGGAGAATAAGAAGTGGGAACATGTAGTATAATATGGCTTGAGAGCTACACACATAGTGTGAAGGAGCTGAGATTTTAACAGTTAGTGACCTCCAGTCCTGTCAGCCCCGAATGTCTGCTTGTCTTGTCTCCTAGGCCTACGTGTATGAAATGGGCTCCAGCAGCTTCCTCTACCGTCTTGCAGGACACACAGACACAGTCACTGAGGTGGCCTTCAACCCAGCAGCTCCTCAGGTACAGTCTCCCGGTGTGACCAGGGCCTCTCCAGTTCAATACTGTCTTAATACATGTAAAAGATGGCCAGGTTTCTTTTTATGAAGTCTTCATGGTATTAAAGAGTGCAGACAGCTGTGCCCAGTACCTGTAATCCCAGTGCTCCAGAGATTGACGCAGAAGGGTCATCCTGAGCTACATATCCATTGCGGGGCCAGCCTGGGCTTTATCTGATCCTGTCTCAAAAAAAATCAAAATGAGGAAAAGATTATATGATAGTTTTGGGTACCATGAGAGGAAATTTGGTAGTAAACTTATTGAGAGAAAGAGAAATATAGATTTCTTAGTCTTTAACATTGAGTATGTTTGCTCTTACTGCATTATAGAAAGCCATATGTACCCAAAGGCAGATGCAGCTCTGTGCAAGCCAAGTGCAAACACTGTAGACAGAACTCAGAAAGCAAGCAGAAGACAGGTGTGAAAAGAATTTGGGTGCATGAAGGGTACCGCAGAGTTTGTAAAGACACTGTCCTAATGACTGAAGGCCAGGAGGGAATAAGAGTTTCAAACCAGCTGTGTAGAAACCTGGATGCTATGGACAATGTGGAAGACTTACAAGTGTTCTGTATCTGCCGACTCTGAGTCTTCAGGAATGTCAGCTTCACCTGTCTTTCTATAACCCAAGCTTTGATTCCGAGAAGAAATCGCGTTACATTGCTTCAGCCTGACCTGTGTGCAGCAGCATTCTGTTAACCCATGCTTGACTCTGACACTGAGTTGCTGTGGTCCAGGGCCTGCTGGTGTTCCTGGCACATGCTTGGCTTTGACTCTAGACATCCTGTCATGTGATGTAAATCAGTGCTGCTTACCATGTGGTTGCTGGAAGTCTGCAACACTAACCTGCTGGTGCTGCTGGTTACTCCCAGTTCCTTTCTGAGCCCTGACTGATCCTGTGCATTGGAGTTAGGGTTGGGTTGGCCAGTTCCTTTGCTTTCTGCTGTCGCATCCACTTGAGCAATTGTCACTTTTTGATGTGTGTGTAGATGTCCCTCTCTTCCCTTTCTCTATGACTCTGTTGTTTCTTGTGTTTAGAAGCGACACTACTCTGTTGGACTTAGAGTTGCTATGTCCTCTTTACGAGTTGAGGCTTTGTTAAGAAGTATGTTCTTTTTGCCATGACAGACATTCATAAGGCATCTGTTCTGATTTCTGTTAGGGTCTTGTGCCTCCTGACACCATCTGTGAGTTTGCACATCAGTCCCATTGTGTCTGGAGGATGCTGTCTCCTTGGTCATCCACCACCTCTGCCTGTTACCTTTCTGCCTCTGCGTCTCCCCAGATCCCATTTAGGGCTGTGTGCTTTCAAGTCTTCCACTCTCTTCACATGGTCCAGTTGTGGCTCTCTGCTCATGACCATTGACTGCAAAAGGAGGCAGCCTCTCCCGTAAGTGTCGAGGGTGTGTGCAGGCTTACTTCCCTGCTTGACCCCAGAAATTCCAGACCACGTGGGAGACATGGTGACATGAGCTATTCGATATTCTTCAGGTTTTTAACATTCATTCTCCATTTTTTGGTGATTACGTAGAAAGCCATCATGAAGGTTCTTGTATACCATTGGTGTGGATGCCTGCCTTGTCTTCCTGGCCTGAATTGCATGCTTGTTCAGTCTCAGGGCATCGTGTAGCCACCGTCAAGGAAATGGTCCTACGAGAACCCAACAGTTCTGAGTGAGGTTCTAGTCTCCAGAGTCTTGGCTGGATTTAATTTTGTTAGTCTTTTAAACTTTAGCCAATGAAGTAGATGCATAGAATTGTTTAATTTGCATTTATTTTACAGTGATACTAAACACTTTTTTTCATATATTCATAGACTTACTTTTAACTTTTTGTAATTGAGTTGTAGAACTTTGAAAAATGTCTTCTATGTCCTGGCCATATGTGTGTGTGTGTGTACACACATATACATGTATATTATAAATAATTTCACAAATCTCTGGCTTACTTTTTTAGGATATAATGGTATCCTTTAGTGAGCAGAAGTTTTTAATTTTGAGGAAGATCAAAATTTTACATTTATGGCTAGTATTTTCTACAGATTGACCCAAAGGCTGCAAAGATCACCTCCTATCTTCTTCCAGGAAGTTTAGATTTTTAACTTATATTTTGATCAAATGTACTGGTATCTCTTCCTGTATAATGGCATTATAGGAACCTAGTTGCTTATGACACCCAGCATACACCTCTGCTCTTCCTCCATCATGGCTTAGGGAGAGTCTGGATGAGACTCAGCTGGTTCCTCAACTCTGGACTCACTAGGCGCCAGCAAGGTATCAGCAGGGCTGTGGACTCCTGTAGCTTTAATTCTGTCTGCCTTCATGTTCACCCAAGCTGTTGGTGCGTTTAATTATTTGTGTTCATAGGATTGAAGGCCCTAGCTGCTTGCTGGCTATGGCTGAGGGCCACTGAAATCCTTACCGCACAGAGAGACTCCAGCAAAGTGCCTCTTCCCCGGGTACCATGTTCTGCCCAGTCTAGGCCTCTATTTCATGTATTACCTGATAAACCTAGTTTCATGCAGCAAAGAATGGTGAGAAGAGATGCCCTGGTTTCTCCTGATCTTGACGGGAAAGGTCCCAGAGTGTCGGTTTTTTTGTAGATGCTATTTATGGAGTTAAGGAAAGTTTCCTTTATTCCTGTTGGCTAAGTTTTTTTTAAATTAGTGGGTGTCAGATTTCCTCAAATGATTTTTTTTCAATCACTGATGTGATCTTACAATTTTTATTTCTTTTTTTAAAAAAATTGGCATGATGGATTATGTTGATTTTCGAATGTTAAACTAGCTGCATAACTACAAAAATCCTGCTTGTTTGAAATGCATCATCCTTTTGTACAGGTTATATCGGGCTTACTAATGCTTGCTGAGGACCTTTATGCGTGTTTATGACCGGTAGTGATCGGTCTGGATTCGCTCCCCTGTGACGTTGCTGTTTGTGCTGATCTTTGGTTTTGTAAATCCTGGCCCCACAGAATGAGTTCCTGAGCATTCTCCTTATTGCTAGTCCACCAGAGAAATCATAGAGAATTAACATAAGTGCTTCCTTGGGTGTTTGCTAGAACTTTCTAGTGTCCATAGGAATCTAGTCCTCTGTGTTTTAGATGATTAATTATTGGTTCAGTTTTTTAAAAGAATCATAAGCTTAGTTGCATTTCCTTCTTTCTGTGTGAAGGAAAGGTTGGAGCACTATTGATTGTAAAGTTGTTTGTAGCATTCTTTCATTATTCTCTTAATATCCACAGGATCTGTAGTAATGCCACCCCTTGGTTTCTTATAATAATCCCGTGTTCTCTCTTTCTGTGTTGATTTTTCATGGTTTAGTCAGTGGCTTGTCAATTTTATTCATCATTTTAAAATGGTTTTACTGGTTTTCTTCATTGACTTTCCGCCTTTGAGTGTGTTGATTTCTGTTGTAGTTTTTATTTCTTTTTGTCTACTCATACTGGATTTAATTTTATGTCCTTTGTCAAATTTCCAAGGTGGAATCTGGGATTGAGAAGATCTTTATTCTTTTCTTATATTTGCATTCAGTACTATTAATTTCTCTCTGTGCATTGCTTTCATGGCATTCTACAACTTTTAATAAAAAATTTTTAATTTTTATGTAATTCAAGATATTTTAAATTTTCTTAGGAGCTTTTTTTCCTCCTGTAAAGTGTGTTATTTATTCTGGGTTATATTTCTGTTACTGATCTCCAGTTTATCCCCATTGTATATGAGTAGGCATTTATGACTTTTATCCTTTTAAACTGAATAAGGAATGTTTTACAGTTCTGAATGTTGTCTGTCTTGATCAGTGCCCCATGCAGCTTTGAGAAGAATGTGTGTTATTCTGTGGTTGCACCAAGCAATCTATAAATTGTATCCAGTTGGATAATGGTATTATTGAGTTCAGCTGAATCTATGATGTTCTGCCTGCTGCATGTGCCCATTTCTGGTGGTGTATTGGTGAAGCTCCAGCCAAACCGGTGGACTGTCTGTGTCCTCTGTGGCACCAGCTGAACCGGCGGACTGTCTGTATCCTCTGTGGCACCAGCTGAACCGGCGGACTGTCTGTATCCTCTGTGGTACCAGCTGAACCGGCGGACTGTCTGTATCCTCTGTGGCACCAGCTGAACCGGCGGACTGTCTGTATCCTCTGTGGTACCAGCTGAACCGGCGGACTGTCTGTGTCCTCTGTGGTACCAGCCGTCTTCCGTCGTGTCGTATAGTGTAGGCTCTGTGAGGCACAAGCACAGTTCACATTCACTGTAGAGAGTCAGCTTCATTCCTTCATCATCTCTGAGAACTTTCTTGTTTGAGATGCGCTGTGTCTGAGAAGCATATTGGCTGCTCCTGAGTTGTTTGGTTAGTGCTGGCATCACATCTATTTCACAGTCCATTGATTTTAACACCTATGTGTATGTTCTTTAAATGCGGTTTCTTGTAAATAGTATGCATTTAGGTTTTTATCATGGTTTGTTATTTGTTCCAGTTTTTGTGTTTTTTTTTCTTGTTTGTCTGACTTTTGTGGCGTTGATTGAGTGTGATTTCACCTCTCTCCTTTCTTAGTGTATCAGTTTTAACTTGTAACTTTTCAGTTCTTACTCCTTTTGGCCTTGTGATGCTCATCCTAAAGTTTTCATTATACATTTATAACTACGTTTACAGACTAGCAAGCTGATGTACAGATCCTGTGAGTGCACAATAACAACATCCGCATTCTTCTCCATCCCTCCCATTTCCTGTTATTACACTGACAATTGCATTGCACCGGCACCTTCAAATGCACAGCTGCATTCACACCGACAGCTTCAAATGCGCTGCTGCTCTTCTTTTAAATCAAGTGGGTTTTTTGTTTGTGGGGAGAGGGTTAGGTCCGTCAATTACTGGAACTTTTATTTTGCCTCCAGTTTCTTCTCCTGGATGCTCATCTTGACATGAATCTGAATTTCCAAACCATTGTCTTTCTGCTGAAAGAACGGATC